ATAAAATTTGTTTTGGTAATTTTAAACAGAAAAACCTTTGTTCTTTTCATGGTGCTGAGAAAAAAAGCTATTCATTTTCTTCAAGTATCATTAATATAATTATGAAAACATAATTGATGTTCAACTAATTTCTTAAATAGAGCAAAATATTGAGGTACTCAGGTACAGAATTTTAGCATAGCTTCTATAATCTGGCCTACTTTTCTACCAAGATATCATAAAACTTGCTACCATTATCATACCACTGGTGCCTAATGGGAATTTTGATGTCCTGTCTATTCCTATCATATCTTTCAATCATCCCTTTGTCTTATTTGTATACAAGTCTGTCATCCTCTTAGGCAGAAGCTGTACCTTTTTATCCTCCTATGATCCATAACAGAAACCCAATTTGCTAAATAAAAAATTGTTAATGAAGGTGTACCCATCCTAGAGACAAAAATATTACATACCATCTCCAGAAAGAACAATTCAAAGTATAAATAATCTGAATTATATGAACTTTCAATTCATTGTATTTGGTTCTAACCAGTGCAATTAATTAATTTAATTAATTCCCACAATTTGCAGTCACTCTGGTTAAGGTTTGGCCAGTTTTCTGTAAACTTGCATGACAGTAGATATTTAAGTACTTTTCCCATTTAAAAAAAAATTCAGGGCTTGAAAATAATCTAGCATTTTTTTTTCTTTTTTTCAGACAGAGTATCACTCTGTTACCCCAGCTAGAAGCACAGTGGCATCATCACAGCTCATGGCTCACAGCAACCTCAAACTGCTGGGCTCAAGCAATCCTCCGGCTCTGCCTCCCAAGTAGGCTAATTTTTCTATGTTTAGTAGAGATAGGGTCTCACTCTTGCTCAGGCTAGACTCAAACTCCTGACCTCAAGCGATCTTCCTGCCTCGGCCTTCCAGAGTGCTAGGCTTATAGATACAAGGCACTGTGCCTGGCCTAGCACTTTCATCTGTATTGTTTTTCCCATCTGCTCATTGAAAAGAATAAAAATCATTCAGGATACATTCCACAGAAAAGATCTGCATATATTTGAGATACATGAGATTAGTCAAATTTGAATTTCTCCATATGTTTTAAATGTTCAATTTAGTGTGTAACATATTTGAATATTTAATTACTAAAGTTAATATATTTTTTCTTTTAGATGAGAATTTTAATGACAGAATTACTGATAACCCTTTTTGTATTAAGGACAGTGGCATATTAACACGTCTATCAAAGAAAACATGAAAAGTGCCTGAAATGTACTATTGAACAACCAGTAACAGTTAAAACTCACACATGTTACAGGTTTCATTTGGATTCCAAGAGCAAAGGTGAGTAATGTCATCATTCACTGAGGTGGAGTTGAAGTACAGCTTACCCTTCCTCCAGGTCCATTTTCACAGCCCAATTCATCACACACTCTGGTGGCTAAACTCACTGCTGAGATTCTTCGGGGCTGGGTACAGACAATGTTGCATTTACTTGCTCCCCACTCATTTAGAAGTAAATCTTCCAAGAGAAAATGTGGTACTTGAGTACTTTTACCACTCCCTGTTTCGCCTGCCACAACCACTACTCGGTGCCTTTTAAGAGTTTCAACAATTGAATCCCGATGTTTGAACACAGGTAATTGTTGTCTTTCCTTTAGAAGTCTCTGATACTTAGGTGTGCTTTGCAACTTTCTAAAGAGGTTTCTAACAGGTTCCAAATCTTCTGCATTTGCTGATTCCCTGGGCAGTGCAGAAAAATCCTCATCGGAAACTAAATTTTCCCAAGATTCCTCAGGATCTTTAGAGTTTTCTCTCTTATTTTCAGAATGTTGTTGTTGCTGTTGCTGCTGCTGTTTCAATTTATTAAGAAGTTTAGCAATAAAAAGATCACGTGGTTTATTGGTTTCCATTTTATTTAATTCTTCCCTTTTCTTTTCTGCATCACTCCACTCCAGCCAAACATCTCGGTAAGTGGGTGGAAGTAACTGATGAACTGACTAAAGGGGAAAAAAACAGCAGAGCATTATTTTTGGTAAGTATTGAATATCAGAATTCAATTGGTTAGAACTTTGGATGGGTATATTCCTCTTAAAATGAAATTTGGCTCTAAACTATTAAGTTATTACTTTAATATGCGTATGATGCAAATACAAAAATAGCATACCATATTCAGGCTTCTGGACTTACTAGCTGTATGATCCCGGGTGAGTAACTTAATATGTATGTGCCTCAGCTTTTGCATTTTTAAAATGGGGTTAGCGATAGTAACTCCCTTATAGGAATATTCTGAGGTTAACTTTAAGTTAATACATGTGAAGTGCTTATTCCTGGAACACAGTAAACTACTGAATAAATGTTTTATTATTCATTCCTGCAGTGGTGCTATATAAAATGTAGATGAACCATAGAGCATTTCTAAAACATATAAAGCTTCTTTGACAATCTGGCAGTTGTATAACGTTACAGGTCAAAGTATTTTAAATGAAGTACACTGGATAGAATCTAAGTTATTTTAATTCTGTGCTATAAAAGAATGCACAATTATCTCTGACACTGACAGTCATTTTTATCAAGTAAACACAAGTTATGATACCTTATTTTCCAAAATAAGAAAAATAAAGACATTAAGAACATTTACTGGCAGAAACTGGAATAGAACTATTGTTTAGAGTTGCACTTAATCAGTGTCGAAAATTTTCGATGGTTCTAATTTCCTAAAGATACACACATTTATGGTAAAAAAATATTGATACATCTAAATTTAAAAAGGGCATTGTGTTCTCTTGAAGAGCTTCCTCCAGCAGCACTTTAATCCTTCCTTAAACTGGAAATATAGTTAATATAACTTAAAATTGAAAAATGGAACCAAAGTCTACAAGTTTTTAAAGTTGAGAGACAACATAACATTAAAGGAAAACAAACTTTAAAAATCTTAATTCAACTAGCACGACTATTTTTTTTTTTTTGAGACAGAGTCTCACTGTGTTGCCTGGGCTAGAGTGCCGTGGCGTCAGCCTAGCTCACAGCAACCTCAAACTCCTGGGCTC